CCCCAGCCACTCCCTGCAGAGACCTTCCCAGGCAGGCACTTCTCACTCCCCTGATGCCCGCAAGCACCTTTGTCTTTGGGTGCATTTTTCTGAGAAATGGGACCTATAAGAAGCCGCTGACTCTGCTGCAGGGAGGCAGGTGCTGTGCGCACTCAGGTCTCATTGTGGTGCGTCCCATATCAAATTGCTGAAAAAGTTCAGTGTCAGAAAAATGAATTAAGGTCTTCAAGTTTACACCACAGACAAGTGTCAGATTCAAGGGGCTGGATTTTAACTATTATTTTCTCCAGCGTCAAACACAATCCGTACCTCAGATGTGCAGCCCTCACTGGAGCAGGTACAGTCTGAGGACCAGGGTGGCTCAGCTGCAGCTCCTGTTTCCATGGTTGCAGTTATGCTTTTCCTCCCATTCCCTTTACATCTCAGACCACATACCCATGGCCTCCCCGTGTTCAGGGCCACACCATCATTTCTCAGCTGCAGTGGCTTCTCCAGGGGAACCTTCTTTCAGAGTGAGCTGTAATTTCTCTGCCTCCTCTTTGATCTCAGCACAGATTTTGACACACAGGAGACCTTGGTTATTAGGGCTGGGTCTCTGCACCTTGTTGTTCTGTCAAATATTCACTTTTAACTATTGGAGAACATTTTTAAAGGATTTTGTCTGTTTTTTTTTCATATTTTTTAATCCCAGAGATTTCCCTCCTCATTCCCCCCACTCTAATTTATCACCAATGAATTTCATGTAACCTCCTTATGTCTTCTCCTTTGAGTCTAATATAAAATAAAGGTGCAAAACTGTCGTTCTCAAGAGCATTACTCAATCTGCTGTTATTTTGCTTCCTGGCAAATGTTGCCGACTTTGGTCAAATAAACATAGACAAATTCTCCACATGTTTGGAGATTTCTTACAACACCACCAAAAGCAATTGACTCATGTGAAGTAGGAGGACGTTACATGGAGGGGTATCAGCATCTCCCGGGACTCCATTGCCTGAAGACAGATTTATAAACACAAATTTAGAGCAGACCCAGAACCCAGCAAGCTAGAGCAGTGGTTCTCAACCTGTGGGTTGCGACCCTTTGGGGTGTCATGTTGTGACATGTTCAATTTGTAACAATGAAAATACATCCTGCATATCAGATATTTACATTACAGTTCATAACAGTAGCAAAATTACAGTGATGAAGTAGCAACGAAAATAAATTTATGGTTGGGGGTCACCACAACATGAGGAGCTGTATTAAAGGGTCGCGGCATTAGGAAGGTTGAGAACCACTGAACTAGAGCTTTCTCCTTGCTTCCAGAGAACAGAAGAAACTGCTCAAGGCTCAGGTGGCTTTGTTTGGGGGGTGTGTGTGTGTGTGTGTTTCATTAATCCTCACCCAGGGATGTTCTCTCTCTTTTTTTTTTTTTTTACCCTCCCTCGCCTTGCATCTGAGATTCTGCACTCTCTTCCATGCTTCCAAGTCTCTGGATCCACTCCATTCTTCAGTTAATTTTGTTAATTAGGTTCCATCTATGTGTGAGATGAGGTGATGCTTTTCTTTCTGTGACTCACGTATTTCACTTGGCACGATGCTCTCCAGGTCCCTCCATCCTGTGTGAAAGGGTTCTTAGCCTTCTTTTTACCACTGCCAAGCATCCCATGGTATAAATGTACCACAGCTTTTTTACCCACTCATCTACTGATGGGCATTTGGGCTGTTTTTTAATCTTAACTATTGTAAATTGTGCTGCTATGAACATAGCGGTGCATACGTTCTTTCTGATTGTTGTTTCAGGTTTCTTAGGATATATTCCTAGAAGTGAGATCACAGGGTCAAATGGCAGTTCCATATTTAATTTTTTGAGGAAATTCCCTATGTTTTCCATAATGTCTGCACCAGTCTGCATTCCTACCAGCAGTGTACTAGGGTTCCCTTTTTTCCATATCCTCGCCAGCACTTGTCTTTGTTGAAGGTAGCCATGCCGACAGTTGTGAGGTGGTATCTAATTGTTGCTTTAATTTACATCTCACTGATGATCAGTGTCTTTCACCATTTTTTCACATGTCTCTTGACCATCTTATCCACATTGCAGCCCAGGCAGAGCTGACAGTTCAAATGGCCCAGAAAGTAGATGTTCTTAAATATTGATGTCTGTTTTTGAGACATTAACTTCGTACAATGGAGGCAGGTTAGATGAGTTAGACACTTGAGCAACCTCTGCAAGCTACATTTAGCCTGAAGGAGACAGATGCCTAATGGCCCAAAAGAAGACACAATGCCTGTCATTCAGAAAAGAGCTGGTCCTGAAAAAAAATACAGTGGGGCCTTGACTTAGGAGTTTAATTCGTTCCGTGACGGAGCTCATAACTCAAATTACTCGTATGTCAAATCATTAAAGTGAATGAGTGAGACAGGTGATTCTGGGCTGATGTTGTGGCTTTCACTGTGATGTTCACTGCCCCAACTAGCGGTGGGGTATCTGAAGCTGGCTCATAACCCGAATTTTAGCTCGCAACTCAAAGCAAAAAATCTGCCAGAGACAGCTCCTATCTCGAAAAACTCGTTAGTCGGGAACACCCCACTGTATGCAAAACCAGCAGCTAAAGGAAGCCAGGCAGGTGTCTCAGAAACAAACTTGCCCTAGAAATCCCCTCCCCTGAAGGCACTGGAGGGCCCCGAGTATACTTGGTGTTTTCTTGGGCTATTTGCCCTCAAAACCAGTCCTGTAGTCAGCTAAGGAAATACCGGATCCTGGCCGTGGAGCCTAGGAACTACATTACCCAGAAGGCCGCGCGTAGAATGCCACCAGGCCGAGCCAATGGAATCTGAGAAGGCGTTTCCGTTTTTCAAGTTCTGGTGGGCGGGACCGGTAGTCTTTTCTCCATTTTGTCTGAAGCAGTCCCCGATACCTGTCAAAGAGTCCCGGGGAGAAGGTTGAGAGTGCTTTTCCCCGCCTCGCAGCCCGTGGTGGGAGCCTCCAGTGGTGCTCACAGCGCACACGTGGGATTGAAGCTCGGACTCGCCACCAGACCCGCCCAGGACCGGAACAGGGACCGCCATTCCTGCAGCGGCTTCTGCTCCCGCCCGGCTCCGACTACGGAGTGCAATGCAGGCGCCGGTGCTGAGGAGACGGGCTGAGGTGAGTTTGTGTCCCCCAGGCCCTCACCGCCTCTTACACCGAACAGCACAGCCCGTGTGCAGGCGCCTGTCCCGTCCTGCAGCTCAGTCCCGCGCGGAGGACCGTGAGGAAGGTGGAGGGGAGAGAGGAGTGTGGTGGCTTCTGAGGACACAGCAAGTGCAGGGCAGAGAGGACGGGGGTGACTCGCATCTGAAGGTCCCTGAGGATGTGGCTGTGAGTATTGACGGAAAGATCAGAGGCTGCAGGGAGGACGTCACAGACTCATTCGGGGCTTTCCCGGCTGTGGGTCCATCAGGGGCCTGGGGTGGTCCTGGATCCGGCTGGACTACAAGCTCTCTACACGCCATATGCCAAGTTCATGGGTGAGTCCAGCGAGATCCAGTGGCATTGGAGCAGGAAGGGGGCAGAGCTGGCCTCCCCACCCACCCCAGCTCCTCTGCTGAGAGCCATCACAGTGAGTAATGGGACTGTGATGAGAGAGCAGCGTGCACTGGCCTTAGGCCTGGTGTCCACAGTAACCAGGGGCCCTGGAGGAGGTTGAGGGTGGGGAAGATTTGTAAGTAGGATTACTGGTTTTCAGAAAGGCAGGTCTGGTTACAATTGTCTCCATTCTGACAGGTTGGAGTCTCCTTTGAGGACATTGCCCTGTACTTCTCCAGGGAGGAATGGAGCCTCCTTGATGAGGGTCAGAGACAGCTGTACCTGAATGTGATGCGGGAGAACTTTGAACTTATATCCTCGCAGGGTAAGACCAGTGACCTGGGCTTGGCTTTGTGATTTTCCAGGGCCCACCCCCCAGGGTGTGCTCTGTCCTCCCATGTAGACTGTGGTACTGATTGATTTTCCAGTTTCCTGGGTAGTTGCTGTCCTGGGGAGGGTTGGTCTGTTTCTGCTGCTCCCTTCTATTCCTGAAGCTCCAATACTCCCCCCTGCACTAACTTCACAGGGAAGGACCTTTGGTTGATAGTGTGATTGGAAGCCTAGGGAATTCCATCTTGATCAGTGAGGAAAGCGTTTTCTATATTCATGTTGGACATTTGTACCTATTTTTTGACGAATTGTCTCTACATCCTTATCCTGTTTATTAACTATATTTTGGTTAAAGAGTCTTTTGGCCGAAACTGGTTTGGCTCAGTGGATAGAGCGTCGGCCTGCGGACTGAAGGGTCCCAGGTTCGATTCCGGTCAAGGGCATGTACCTGGGTTGCGGGCACATCTCCAGTGGGGGATGTGCAGGAGGCAGCTGATCGATGTTTCTCTCTCATCGATGTTTCTAACTCTCTATCTCTCTCCCTTCCTCTCTGTAAAAAATCAATAAAATATATTTTTTAAAAAAAGAGTCTTTTGAATACCTTGTATATTTTATATATTAATTGCTTACTAAATACAGGAACCCAGATTTTTGCATGTGCTTAATTGTTCTTTGCATGTATTGCTCCCCACACTCCTTTTTTTTTAAAAAAAAAAATTCTTTTATTGATTTCAGTGAGGAAGGGAGAGGGAGAGAGAGATAGAAACATCAGGGATAAGAGAGAATCACCGATCGGCTACCTCCCGCACACCCCCCCCACTGGGGATTGGGCCCACAACCTGGGCATGTGCCCCTGGCTGGAACCGAACCTGGGACCCCTCAATCCGCAGGCCAACACTCTATCCACCTAGCCAAACAGGCCAGGGCCCCACACTCCTTTTTTTATTTTTTTAAAATAAATTCCATGTTTTTGGCAACGGTGTAGTCGGCAGGTCCAGTGCCATCATTTTTCTAGGAAGCTCAGATGCTTGTTACGAGTGGTTAGCAATAAAGTATTTTTTTAACCTTTTTTTTTATATATATTTTTTATTGATTTTTTACAGAGAGGAAGGGAGAGAGATACAGAGCTAGAAACATCAATGAGAGAGAAACATCGATCAGCTGCCTCCTGCACGCCCCCCACTGGGGACGTGCCTGCAACCCAGGTACATGCCCTTGACCGGAATCGAACCTGGGAGCTTTTAGTCTGCAGGCGGACACTCTATCCACTGAGCCAAACCGGTTTCGGCTTTTTTTAACCTTTAACACATGATTTTTATTGAACATGTATAGGGTTCACCTTTACATTTTATTACAAACTAGAGGCCTGATGCACGAAAATCATGCCAGGGTACGCCTTCCTTCTGCCTGCACTGGTTTACCTCCGGCTTCTAACACCCAGGCTTTCCTCTGGCTGCTGGCACCTGGAACTGGAGCTTCCCTCTTGCTGCCGGGACCCGGGCTCCATCTGCAGAGGGAGGCCTCGCCCACCCGCCACAGCCCACTGGCCAGTGCAATAGGCTTCATTTTGGGGCAATTGCAGAGCCCCCCCATTGATTGCCCTGCCAGCCGTGGCCTGGGCCTCCCTCTGCGTACCATTGTAGGGTAATGGCAGAGCCCCTGGGCCAATCACATTGCACCCGGCTTGGCTGGCCTGGCGTTCATGTGTGTCATGTTGGGTTCTTTGGACGGTGTTTTTGTAAAAAAAAAAAAAGGCAGGGATAGACGTTTCCTATATAAAAATGAAGGTCATTATCCAAGTATTAGAACACAATACTAATGGAATCACTTCAATAAACATTTTTGCACAAACATATACATGACTACTCACAGTGTATCAGCTTCCACAAGAACAGTTGGATGCACAAAATGAAGGTAATCCCCGACATAAGATGTACAGGCAGTCCTCGGGTTAGGTCGGACTTGACGTACGTCATTTCTTGGTTATGTCGCCATCTCCCATTTATTTATAAGAAAAAAAAAGCTCCATCATTTCGACATATGTACATATATACTTTAGATTTTTATTATTTTTTACCACAAGTAAAAGTCAGGAATTGTTATCTTTCTTTTAAGTTTTTTATATATATTTTATTGATTTTCTACAGAGAGGAAGGGAGAGATATAAAGAGTCAGAAACATCAATGAGAGAGAAACATCGATCAGCTGCCTCCTGCACACCCCCCACTGGGGATGTGCCCGCAACCAAGGCACATGCCCCTGACCGGAATCGAACCCGGGAGCCCTCAGTCTGCAGGCCGACGCTCCATCCACTGAGCCAAACCGGTTTCAGCTCTTTTAAGTTTTTTTTTACTGTTTCACTTCATTATTGCTGTGTATGTGCTCCATGTGAGTGACAGAGGTGCTTACTTAGGTGGCTTTTAACTTTCTGCGAAAATCGCGCTGTAGGGATGAATCTCCAAGGTAACCCGAGGACCTACTGTATTTAAAAAAAAAAAAAAAAAAAAAGCAGCCCTGACCAGTTTGGCTCAGTGGATAGAGCGTCAGCCTGCGTACTGAAAGGTCCCAGGTTTGATTCCGGTCAAGGGCATGTACCTTGGTTGTAGTCACATCCCCGGTAGGAAGTGTGCAGGAGGCAGCTGATCAATATTTCTCTCTCACTGATGTTTCTAACTCTCTATCCCTCTCCCTTCCTCTCTGTAAAATATCAATAAAATACATTAAAAAAAAATTAAACTGAATGTCAGTGAAATGTCTTCCTTTGTATGGAATTTGGTCAATGAGTATCATCAAGAGGTGGACGTACACATTTGTAAAAGCAGAGCTTGTAGTCTGTGTAAATTACAAAATCTACCAGCTGTGTCTTATGGAGGAGGAGCTAGAAACCACCTACACAGCCATTTAAAATATACTGTGTCCATAAGACGGGGCAAAAGTAAGCTTTTAGTTGTGAATAAGAAAAACACGAGTTTCTTCTTATATTCTTAATTATTAGTTTTTAAAAAATTATTGCAAAGGCATTTTTTTAAAACATGTTTTATTGATTTCTTTTACTGAGAGAAAGTGAGAAGGATATATACAGAGAAACATCAATGAGAGAGAAACCTCATCAATTGGCTGCCTCCTGCTAGCCTGCAGTGTAGTATTAACGTATCTTTATTGTTCATTGGGAATTCAACTATTTGTGTGAATTTCTGTCCATATCGAAATACTTGCTTTATTGTGCTGATCAGAACCGAATCCATAATATCTCCCAACGATTCCTTCATATTATTTGCGAGTATTTTCTCCCATCCTCTAGATGGCCTTTCATTTCATTTTGTTTATTGTTGTGCTGTGAGGAAGCTTTTTTCTTTATTTGTTGCAGTGTGGACTGTTTGTTTTCTCTATTTAGTCAGGTGATTTGTGTCACATCCAGAAAATCCCGTCCAAAACAAACCTCCAAATCTTTTTCTCTAGATTGTCTTGAAAGAGTTTTAAGTTGTAGCCTTGCCATTTAATTCTCTAATGCAGGTTAAGTTAAATTTTATCTGTGAGGGCCAGTTTTGTTGTTTTACATGTGAATATCAATTTTTAGTAGCACCAGTCATTGAAGAAACCAGCTGTCTCTTCTTCTGTGTCTTGCAGCTTTGTCAAAGATGACTTGAAAGTATGTGCTTGGGTTTATTATGTTTTTTGTCCTGTATTTTTGATCTATGTTTCTGTGTTTCTCCAATAATACATTGTTTCCTTGTTTTCTCTTTGTAATACATTGGTGCCGCCAGCTTTGTTCTTCCTCAACATTGCTCAGGCCGACGCTCCATCCACTGAGCCAAACCGGCTTCGGCTGTCCTGTATTTTTGATCTATGTGTCTGTGTTTCTCCAATAATACATTGTTTCCTTGTTTTCTCTTTGTAATACATTGGTGCCGCCAGCTTTGTTCTTCCTCAAGATTGCTATTTTTAGTGGAAGTCTTTTGGTTCCATACATTTCAAGATTCCCTTTTCATTTCTTTGTAAAATACCATTGGAGTTATCATGGGGATTGTATTTAATCTGTCGATAGCTTTGTGTATTATAGATATCATCACGATATTTCTTTTTCAAATTCACAAACACAGGAAGTCTTTCAACTTATTTGTGTTTTCTTCCATTCCTTTCATCACTGTATCATAGTGTTTAATGTACAGATGTTTCACCTTTTGGTTGAATTTACTCCTTTTTTTATTATTTTATGCTTTTGTAAATTTGACTACCTTAACTTTTCTATCGAAGAATTTATTGTTAGTGTGTGAAAATGGAACTAATGTTTGTACGTTTATTTTTCATCCTGTCACTTTTCTGAATTTAGTTCTTTATTCTTTCATCTTCACCCATGTAGTCTGAATATTTTTCCCATTTATTTTCTTTTAGAGAAAAATGAGAGAGAGAAACATCGATTGGTTGCCTTCCACATGTGCCCCTACTGGTAACGGTATCAGACCTGCAGCCAAGGTACCTGCCCTTGACTTGGAATCTAAACCATGACCCTCCAGTGCACAGGCTGGCACTCTAGCCACGTAGCAGCACAGGCCAAGATTATTTATTTATTCTATAAATTATATTAAACTTATATTTTTATTGATTTTAGAGCCTCAGAGTAGGAGAGAGAGACTGAAATATCAGTGATGAGAGAGAGTCATTGATGGACTGCCTCCTGTGTGACCCACACTGGTGATTGAGCCCGCAACCTGTGCATGTGCCCAGTCAGGGAATTGAATTGTGACCTCCTTAGTTCATGGGCCGATGCTCAATCACTGAGCCATACTAGCCATCCTGTATTTATTGATTTGGGAGACAGAGAAAGAGAAAGATGGGAACATCGATCTGCTGTTCTACCCATCTATGTATTCACTGGCTCTCCCCTGCATGTGCCCTGATGGGGGGGTCAAACCCACAACCTTAGTGCATCCGGACCACACACTCACCAACTGAGCCACCTGGCCGGGCCTCTGAATTTGTTTCAGAAGCTCATAGTTGCTTCTTCTTCTTTTTTTTTTAATCTTTAATTTCTTTATTGGTTAAGGTTTTACAAGTGTGTCCTCATCTCCCACAATTAACCCCCCCCCCCACTCATGCTTTCATCCCCCTGTTGTCCATGTCCATTGGTTTGGCTTATATACATGCATACAAGTCCTTCAGTTGATCTCTCTC